TTAATAACTAGCTTTTGTCCGGGATTTCATCCACGCGACCACTATACATTGAATTTTTTTTAATGGGTGACAATGAAATCGTAACCTCGACTACGCCATTGGTTTACTCTAGCGAGGTACCAGTAAGAGATAATAAGTGAGGATGAAAGCAGGTTATTTGGATATAGTGAGGAATTCCACAAGATTTAGCTACGATAATTTCCAAAGAGAACCGCGTGGAAGTCAACCTGATAGGGTATATTGCTAGCAATGGGTCTGTTAGACCTAGAATTACGAGGAATTATCACGCTTGATAGTAGGATTGTCACCTGCAGTTCGGCTGTGGTGACGTTTTAAAAGAAACGCTGCTGCCCATCCCTCGACGTAAGTCACCTCTTACAACACCCACGAAAAAGAATGGAATGGATTAATTATAAAATTAGCAGAAAGGTAAACCCAAAACACTGGGTTTACCTTTCATCAACATTAGTTTAGTTTTCGCAAAGATTCTATATACATACATGAGTCATCAGATCAATAATGCAATCAAAAATAATAAAAAAACCGTGAAGTTAAAAAGTAACGGTATATCAATAACATTTACAAATAAATCTAAGAAAAGTCAAATTTAGCATTCCATTCCTCGCTTCGAATACTGATTGGCCAAATCGCGCTCGATCGCTCCATCTTCGCATTCTTTATATCGACTTCGTGACTTAAAATTTACATAATTCGTTTCTGATTTCAATAAACTTACCTTCTGAAAATCAACATAGTAAAGAGAATTAAAACTTTAAATAAATAAATAAATAATGTTTTAAACTTTCATCACGGTATTTCTTATTGAATTTTGATTCTATTACATTAACACACTTTATATTATCAGGAAGGCGACAATCTTTTTAATATAATAACATTGATATGAAAGTTTGTAAAAATGTTTGGATATTAAATATTCCGTACGGATTTGAATTATTATTTTGGTAAATAGTTGAGTCATATCCTAGATTAATATATAGAATGCTCTTATTGCAATTAGGCGGGAAATATCATGAAATAAATGCGGCTACATTCGAATAATGCACACTTAATTTTTCTCTTTAAAGCATAAAACAGTAAAAATGTTGAGATAAAACGGTTTCCTTCCCAAGAGGCAACTTTTTGTAAAACTTATGATTGGTCTTTCATAATGTACAAAGTGCATTTTAAAACAAGTTTATTACGTTTTTTGCTTATATATTTCGCTACATAAATCACAAATAAATCAACTTCTCCCTCCTACCTGTAGTAAGAGCGTAAAAATGTTACCCTGAATAAGAGAAAAAGTCGTCGGTAGTAAGTAATTTATAAGGCAAGGTCAAGCTAGAACGACTGAGCAAATTTGAATTAAATTTGATATACAGATAGAATACATCTTAAATTAACATACATGATACTTTTTATCCTTTATGTAGGCAAAGCCCCGAGATATACTTACCTATTATCTATTAAAATAGCACTTGGTCTGATATCGACAAAAATCAATAAAATCTGTATACAAAAATAGAATTACGATAAGCTAAAAATATAAGCAGATAGATAAGTACTTAGTTAATTTTTGTTGATGTTTATTTAAGTTTTGTATCTTCTAATCTCGGGAGTTTTTAAAGTTATTAATAATTAATATAAATTAATACGCGCTGTAATTCTTTCCCGTGGGTATTGTAAGAGGCGACTAAGGGAGCTTAATGGTCGAGGGATGGGCAGTAGCATCCCTCTTGAAACATCACCGAAGCCTAACTGCAGTTGCCAACTCGCTTGTCAAACGTGGCAACTACTGGCAATACTCCCCTTATTGGAAAGGCCTATGTTCAGCAGTTAATTGTTAACAGTACATGTTGGTAAGATACTTCTACTTCTTAGGTATATATTACACTCTATGCTTAAACTTTGGTACGTATTTTTAATATTGTAATCTTATTACACCAAATATCTTTCTGTTCTGCTTTTTATTTTCAATACCAACTATATGAAGAAAGATCTTCATAAAGAGAACTATTGTGTCACAAAATTTTGATCCAAAATAGTCCAGTATAAATCAAGTCCAATGAAGGATTTTTTAAGGATGAAAACAGAAAGGTAACCCTGTCTGCATTAACGGTATACGCTGGCCAGGTACCAGTAAAGGATGATAAGTGAGGATGAAAAGGTAGGTCAACAGGCTATCGGCAATTCAGCACGATGGTTTTCCAGGAAAAACCACATAGCCGACATGACAAGGTATACTAGGGCACTAGTCCCTCCTCCAATTAAGGGTTAAACGAGTTCGTCGTTACAAATATTTTTTTAAGAAAACAATTCCTTTCAATAATATTTAGACATATGGACGTAACAATCGAGGGAAATCTTCTAATTTTTTTATTACACTTAATGTTAACCAAATTATATACCAGCCTGAATAAAATTCATTCTAAATTCCCTATTCATAAGTATTTACGTTATTTAACAAATTAACACGAAAAGTTTGCTTTGAAACAAAGAGAATTGATTTCTTAATCACCATTTAAAATAAATTAACTTAAAAACATTGTGTAGGTAAATTAATTTCATTAGAACACAACAAACACCGATGATTGATTTTAGTATAACCACATGGTCGGTATTGATTTTAAATCTGTTGGTTTTAGTAGGTATATAAGTATTAGCAAATGGTTTAATCGTGTTTCCGTACTTCTGTTGCAGGGGTCCATACCGGTACAGTATCTATGGTATCTTTTGCGCCGTTTTAATTTAATTTATTAAAGACTTTATAACTTTCCTAGGCACTAGCTGTATTCCGTGGCATCTTCCGTGGTCGTATCGTTGTGTTGAATAACTTTATAACGTTCCTCAAGAAATGACCTATTATTAAAATGCAAAAAAAATCGACTGGTAGTTCCAAAGTTTAACACATTTTAGCAGACAAACAAATCTTCCATTTTATAGTATATATGTATATATTAACGGTAACACTATAAGTATAGATATGTTAACTGCTTATTACCATCAGGCAGGTCGTATATGTATGTCTGTTAACTACGTCAAAGTAAATTAATCAATCTATTCGTAAAATACATTGTATTTATATATGTACCTATCGACTTTATACATCAAATTATATTGTATTATTTGACGGAAAAAAATTAAATGAGAAGAAATTTAATTTTCTTAATCATTTACAATGTTTATAGTTTAATTATATTAAAGAATTATTTACTAAATTAAATTCTATTCGATTATTTAAATACTTACCAGATATTTGATCTCAAATTATCTTTCTGCACGAAAATAATTTTAATTAGTTTACTCCACTTAGCTATACCTCTGTAAGCTCCATTTATGATTAACACAAATAATATCTTCCTACACAAACAAGCGTATAGTTTTGCAAAGCATCTATGTAAATTATATTATTTCTACCCACTCACATTTTAATTAGCATTGCTAATAGCTTCTAAAATTGTCTAAATTATCATAATGTATTTATTTTCTTATATACGAGTAAGAAATGTACTCTTAACTCCATAACCTGAACATGGTATTATTTATTATTATTAGATTATATTATGTAATTAATAAATTAAATATACAATTTATTTGTGTACATATTGTTGATTTTTAATAAAGAGTTTTCATTCATTCATTTATTTATGGTATCACCGTTTTAGCATGGACCAACTAACGGAGAGAAGATTTTCATTCTTACAAAGCATGAAATGTTTCGAAACGAGGTTCGTCTTCCACCTCATCGTCTGTGAAATCAAATGAGATTCAATCACGATGTACTTATAGTAAAGTTTTGTGTAGGTAACTCACTGAGATTATGATTGATTACCTGTTCATATATCCAATAGAACTTTATCAAAATATAAACTAATAATTGAGCATAAGACAATCTGCTGAAAGCAGCACACTATTTGTTACTAATTTCATTTATTCATCTTTCCATTAAGTTATATTAAAATAAATTATATTTCTGTTGTAAAACAACAACACATGTAATGCATTTTCAGTAATTTGAAATATTTCAGAGCAATAAAATTATAAATATATTTATTAAGAAAGAAGAAACGAAACTTATAGTATAGTACAAAACAAAATCATTAATTTTTTTATTTTTTAACTCACTACATAATAAATATTTACTACTTTATAAACTTTTAGTCTAGTAATAGATAAAATAACCTATCTGATTCCTATTACCTACAAGTACCTATCAGATAGGACAATTTAATCTTTTGTCAGGAATCGAGCACATATCCCTCAAAAAGAAGAACTGGCTCTGTATTGACTGATTGTTTCTAAAGAAAAACATATATAATTATATTATACTGTATATATGTCCATTCAGCTACTTAGCTACTCAGCTACTTAAACTCACTTATATCACTTACATTTATAATATTTATTATAAATATAAAAGTGAGTTTGTTCCTTGATTCCTTAAGGACTAAACCAATCGTTATGAAATTTTGTATAGATATAGCATTTGAAATGGAAAGGAAATACGCTACTATTATCCAGGTTAAACAAACAAAGTTGTGAGTACTTACTTCATAATTTCAATTTCATAAGTATAAGTAAGTAAGTATCGGCGGTGTGGTTCTGGCATAGATTAGGCCACCTCTTCTTTTCCCGTAGGCCTCATGTGAGGCGGCTAAGAGAACTTAATGATCAAGGGATGGACAGCAACGGCTCTCATAAAACATCACCAAGGCGTAACTGCGGATGCAAACCCGCTTGCCAAGCGTGGCAACCACTGACAAAACCTTCCAAGGACGAGGCCTATACTAAGTAGTGGACAGTTAACGGCTGATATCAATATCAATTTCAATTAAGTAAAATAACAAGTAATTGTTGAGTTATTTATAAAAGACGTAATAAAGTTTTTTAATAGTCGGCAATGCACGCGTGACATCTCTGGTGTTGCAGGCGTTCATAAGCTAAAGTAGTCCTTTACCATCAGTATGCTTATTGGCCATCACTATGATATAAAAAAGGAATACACCATTTATAAAGAAACCAGGCTGAACACCTTACAAAGACGTATAAAATATAGTTCCTGTCGAAGGTTGTGTCCATGAGTAAATTGTTTAACAAAATATTTAGGTTGATAAAATTTTACAAAATCTTCAAATCATATTTGATACGGGTACCTAATTCTTTGAATTTGCAAAGGAATAATTTAAAACATAATAGTAACAATAACAGATTATATTTTAAATATCTTACTCATCATAGGTTAGTAATAAACATGTATATTCCAATAGTTTAATTGTCAATATACATAATATTTTCAAATCTTTTCCTACTTATATAAATATAAACAAGTTCGCTGTCTCGTAAAATTGACATTCTAAATAAACTAAATAAAATTATTAATTTAATTATAGTGGTATAAATCACATTCTTTTTTAATTCAAATAAACTACTTCTTTATTAATAAAAAGTTATTGAATTATGTAGCACTTTTAGTTCTACTACCTGTGTAAGTACAGTGAGCATCTAAATACGATAAACATTTATAGATTTCCAAAACTTGTAAATATAGAACATTAATAGCCTAACAAGGTAATTCCAAAGGGAGCCTGTATAAAAGGCGTTTGCTTGGGCGCCTCTGTCCCATTCGTGTTTCTACAGTAAGCAGTAACTAACTTGAAAAACAAAAATACCAAAATTGGATGAACAACTCATAAGATCAAAATATAAATAACATATACATATGCTACCGAGTGTAGGCCTTTTGAAAATTTTAATGTATTCTTCGATTTTATGCTGACCGTAGCATACTTTTAAGTATTTCTGCCATAAAGCAGGTATGCCTGCTTTATTATTCTGTTTCGGCCTGAAGGATAAAATTGCCAGTAGAAACTCTTACATAAGATGTATAATACCTCTGTCCCCAGTAATAGCAACGCACCATTGGAACCACAATATATTTTGTGATGTCCATCTTCAAGTTTTTAAGTGACGATTACCAATTTTGATCAAGAAAATCGTCAACTTATTTGTCGTTTTCAATAGTATATAAAACTGTATAATTAGGCAATGTCTTCAAATATTATGTCTTTAATTTTCAATAAAAAATACTAGAGTATTTACAATTTCAAGCAATGGAATACGATCTTTTAAATACAGGATGTTTTTTCCTACAAAATTTACGCTTGCGTCTCCTCTTAGGGGGTAACCATCTGAATTTATCACTGTTTGTAACAGTTTCCACTACATTTACCCATCTCTGATCTAAATCCTCGGGTAGTTGACCGTTAACTAGTATTAATGGCATATTAAACCGCGGTTCTTCTCTTCTAGTGATATTATCTTCTTTATAAACAGGTACAGATGGTTCTACCCAATCTTTTTGAATAGAAATGTCTAGAGTGTTTAGTTTGATGCTTTCTTTAGTAGAAGCTAGAGGCATTTCGTTATTGTGGCTCAACTCGGATATCTGAATATCGTTTTCTGTTCCTTCTGGCGAGGGTACGCTTAAAGCCGCTTCAGCATCTAATACCAGCAACTGAAAAAGAATAAACTTTGATTAACTTAAGTGATTTAGATCATTAGATAGTTGACATCAACATGGTATTTTCAATGTACGGTTTATCTTTTAGTTTACGTATATGTAATAGTTTGTAACTGTTTCTTTTATATAGAACTAAATATGGCAACGAAACCACCTGCTCACAGCTTTAATTGATATGGAAAATAGTAACTATTACATAGGTGATAGTTACCACTTTCCAGCCATTAATAGTAAATAATGTTTAAAATTTCGGATATTTATAACTCAGCCACACTTTAACGCCTAAATAGATTTAAATGTATTTTTCTGAAATTGATTTTGGTATTTTCAACCGATTTCGTAAAGGAGGTTCTTAATTCGATTGTTTTTTTAAATATTTGTTACTCCTCATAATTTTGTCAGTTACAAACCGATTTGGAAAATTCTTTTTTCATCTAAAAAGATATACCTACTTACAGATTGGTCTTATAGAAATTTTGTTAAAATTAGTCTACAATTATATTATTTATTAATTTTTAAATAAAAATAACTGGTTTTATCACAATTGCAGGTTATTTTTTGTGGAATATTCTTCTTAAATTATGCAAGTAATAATTAACAAGTTCTGTAATGTAATACGCCTGTAAAGTTAGCTAAATGAGAAAGAATACTATATTTAGTTTGTCTTCTATACTATGTTCATTTCAATTCAATCCATACTCGAATTTACTATGCTATGATACAAATAGACACTTGTTACGAAGCTGGAACTGATGTAAAGCTACATCAGTTCTAGTATAGTATTTGTACATACGTAAATACAAGCAACTGTACAAAAGCTCAGAAAGGTCGTAAAACTTGTACAAAACAAATCTCCGGCTATTGGAACTGCGATTAGTGACGTCCAAAGAACTATGAAAGTATCGTACAAAATAATCCCTTACAAATTTCTTGTTCCGATAGTTCATGAATGACTCGCACAACTTTATAGAAGTAAAGCTCTTTATTCGGTAGATTTATTGTTCTTTTTAAACAAGTTACTAGGCATATTTAATATTATCTTCCATGAAGGAGCTTGGTCCCTTAAACAAACGTGTATGTACTACCAGATATGTCATTTCGAAGGTTTACTCACATCCTAGGATGGGCACCAAGCAGTTTAGGGGTGGGCACGACTCGCCTGGCACCTCTTTAAAAATATGCCTATATCACTAAATTTCATTTTAAAAATTTCTTTTTATCGCTGGTGAGAAGTGTTTTAACAAGTAAATACTATTGTATTATGGTCATATTATGGATATATTACGAGATAATGAAAAGGTATACATGAATCACCTTATTCATAAAAACGTCAAACGCCTCATAAACTTATTTTAACTATTGAACTATTTCGTCTCTTTCTTTTACACTAAGTTTTCATTTTGAAAGAAAGTAACAAAATAGTGTTATAGTTAAAGTAGATTTATTGAAGGTTTTAGTTTTTACGAATAAGGAGGTAAATTGATTATAAGACAGCACATTTTAATATATAAAAAGTCTGTGTCGTGATGTTGGTTCATCTTAATCTCTGAAACCGCTTTTTATAATTTTTAATGAAATTTTTTAATTGTATATTGTAAAACAAAGTCAAGAAAAATGGACTCATAGAGAATAGGTTTCTATATAGAGCAAAACAACTTTTACCGGATCTGCAAATTTATAAACATAAATGAGAAGTTGACCGAAATCAATATAACCTGGATCTAGAAAAAAATAGACATGCACGCATAATGTTTTGTACAAAAGCTCCATATGTAAGAACTAAAAAGGATTTCCCCGAAATTTACACGAAACTAATTTATCTGTTGCTATGCTTCGCACAAATGAAACAACAGAAATCAGCTATAAAGATGTAGTATAATTATAAAATTATACCAACATCTTTATATATAGATTATATTTTAATAATCTTTTTTTTTTTTTTGGTATAAAAAGTCATTCGAAAGTAACTGCATCGTGTTGATATCCCCTTTTATATCTCTGCACCTTAATATTCTACTGTACTCGTATTTCTTAATTTAGTTAATTATTTATTATGCTAACTAGATAGATAGATAAATACTCTTTATTGTTTCTTCCAAAAGATTATAATAGTAGCCTATTCTAGATATAAACAATTATAAGAAATAATCGCAATGAGAAAACAATGGCTGACTTTATCGCTAAAAGCATTCTCTTCCAGGCAACCTTTGAACAGAGAGGAGTAATTATAAACAGTTTGATTGGAGGCACAATGAAGACTATTGCAACATAGTGTAAATATACAATTTAACATATACCGTATCCAACAATGACAGGTCCAGCCTTGACCAGTGGCACAGATTGTTGTAACCTACCGTGAACCAATTAGTCCTCATTCATTGGCCATTTGGACGACAGCCAGATGTCGACCGTGAACTGCCTACCGACTGACGAATTAAAGTTGCAGACATAAAATAAACTTCACGCTTTTAGGGAGTAAAAAATTAATTTTATAATACCTAGGCTTGCGTCTAGTAATGCTCTTTTTACCACAGATAGGGCAATAAACTTGTCATTGTGATGAAAATACATGATGAAAATACTTTGTAATAGAGTGTAACCACTACACTATTGAAATTGAGCACTTATTTTTTGGTCAGTGTTCAGTAGCAACTAGATAACAATATGATGAAAACTCCGACGATGACTCTGAATGTTTTTTTCCGGGGTTAGTTACTAATTCATATTAAATATCAGATTACTTTTAGCTCCAATGGCGGTTGATACGAGAATAAAAAGGTGTTTATTTTACAATAAATCTAATAAATAGTTACGTTTCGCTTTTTATTTTTAAAGCTCATTTTCATATAAATTTGTTTCCAAAATAGGTCCGATCGAGAATCGAATTCTACACTTTGTTTATATTGTGACTGTTTTAAGTTTTAGAAACTTTATAAAAAATATATGGTTTTACGTCTGTAATGAATATTTTATGAATTAGCATCATAGTAAACTATTAAAGTCTTATATCAAAGGAAAACTATATTAAATATTTACTTAATTGTATTTTCGTAATAAGTATTTGAAATATCCATTGTACTAAAAATGCTTATTAAATAAAAAAAAAATGCACAGTATATATTTACATGTATACTATGATATAAATTATATCAGTAATATTTTCTATTATTATTTATTTATATATATATATATATATATATATATATATATATATATATATATATATATATATATATATATATATATATATATATATATATATATATATATATATATATATATATGGATAATATGATATTAGTTTCACTCGTAACTTCGTCTACGAGGTGATAAAAATTATACTGTTTTTCTTCATCCCAAAAACTACGTGTTTGGCAAATTACATGACGATTGGTTACGCGGTTAAGGTGCCAAAATATAGCAAAGAAATACATTTTCTCATTTATAATATTAGTAAGGATTTATCTACATGTTTTTTTAAATACATCCAAGTATAACTCTGTACAATATCAAGGTTAAAATACGATTACAAACGTAAAATTGCAACATCTCGAAAGCTTTTAGTATAACTTTGGAAGACAGAAAACTGAAAGAAAAACATCATTTACATTTTTAAAAGCTTCACTTGTCAGTTAATAGATGTGTTTAGATTAATCCAGCAGTAATATTCATGAAAGTGAACAAATTTGTTAACTAGGTAGGTATTTGTATATTAATCATACGCGGTTTTATCTACTAAGTCTTTTTTTCGTTCGTATAGTATCATAATTTACTTTTGCTAGATATGGGCTTTTTATACTATTCTTATTACTTACTTTTTGGTGTCATAATATGGTAACTAATTAGTCGGACAACTCCAATGTTAGTACGTGTTGGGGGGAAATGATCGTTAGTAATGCGGCCTACCTGTCCCATTGCTAGCAATATACCCTGTCAGATCGACCTCCACTCGGTTCCCCCTGAAAACCATCGTGCTGAATTCCAGGTGTATTCATAACGATGGGCTGACTGACCTGCTTTTTTCATTATTCACCTATCATCCCTCACTAGTGCCCTGCCAGCGTATACCGATAGCGCAGGCGGGGTTATCACTACATTCATCATCCATTAAAAAAAAATGTTAGTACGTGATTAAAGCTGATATTAATGAAAAAGTAACGGCGACAAATAACTAAATATTAATAAGGAACGCTATTTCTAGTATATATATTATTCGTATATCTGCTATCCGGTAGCTTTTTGTCATTTATTTGTAACACTTTATTGTATAGTAAATATTATAAGATAAAGTTGATTTTTTTTTGGTTCTGCGGGGCAGTAAAATTACTATGTGCGGAAACATTTTTAGTCCAGGAATGGCTACGAACGTATAGTACTATGGATGTCACAGTATGTCGTGTCTGTTCTTATCTATAGACTACCATTACCCCTTGTCAACAAGTAAGTCCATAGCGACTTCACTGTATTGAAATAAACTCTATTCATCAGTTGATAGACTATTTAATCGACTGACTGAATAGGTAATTGGATTATCAAAATCGACATCTAGACCAACAAAGTAGCAGGCATAGCTGGCTTCTTTTGACACTTTTGCATTTAAAAAAGGAACTTCAACATATCAAATAGATACTTTTTAATTGTAAATTAAAATATGTACATATAACTATTCCTTTTATGTTCTAATAGCTTGTTGGCGGCTACTTCATATTCATGGACTTCATAAATAGAAAAAAAAATAATGAATTAGACCACTCCTAGATTGCGTATTTGAATAAAATATATACCACATTTTAAGTTGGACCTTCAAGAAGACATCTATGAAAATCGCATTCAATTTGGTGGAGTAGTTTTTGCGTGATTCTGGAAGAAACATATAGATAGACTGGCAAACAAAATTCCTAAAAAATATTCTATCTATTGATTCCATTTAGAATCCTCGAATTAATTTTACTTAAATATTTCTCATGTTCAGACCATGGTAATTTTAAAATTTT